CAGCCACTTGTTTTTTTTTACCTGTGTGCAGCTCTCAGTGATGGTCATGCTCATATCATAATGGCTTCCAGGCACTTAAAAATATTTACAATATTTGCAAGTTCTCGTTAAATTCCTCCCAAAATAGAGATTGTTGCTCAGTAATGGTCATACTGTACTCCATAACATAATAGGTAGGCCTACTTGTTAAAAAGTACTTACAGTATAAATTATTTTTAAGTTCCCACATAAATCACCCTTATTTCCTGACTTCACATCCTGTTCCCTTGTACCTTCGTGTACAGTATGTATCAGTACATAATGCTACTATACTGATTAATCCTTTTCCACCTTGTGGGCAGAATTGTACAAATATGAGATCCACACTCCATGCATGAAATCACCTCATCTTTTAACCTTTATTATAGAATTAGTTCTTATATGACAGATATCTAATGATATTAATCACCACAAATAAGGTACAAGGATATAAGAATAATAATAAGTAAAAGTCATAGACAGTGAGTATAACAAAGGCAAGGGAGTTCAGCTTTTGTATGATGCACATTGTCATTGCCTACTGTTTTTACTATTTTTACAGAAATACAATCCAAATATTATATATAGTAATATAGTATACTGAGTGATTTGCTGAGGATTCATATTTCACACAAATTTATCACACCTCATATATCATTTACATCTTCATTATTAATGATTAACACTAATAAAATATAGATTTTAGACTAATAAAAATCACTGCTAAAGCCTGGAGGATACAACTCATAAACATGTCAAAATACAAAACTGTGGGCAGGAAACTTCATGAAAACAGAGCCAAATGTCTATTTGATCTTGTGCTGCCCTCTAATGTTGCGAAGAAAAAACTACCACAACTTTAAACAAAGCCTCTTACGGAAGAATACAAATAAAAAGCAAAGTATAGGATATATTTCCTATTATTCTGTAATATCTATACATTTTTCAGGCCTTCACATGACAAAAAGGTATCTCATTCCACTTTTTATTGGATCACAACCGAGAAAGATTACTGACCATTCTAAAATCTATGCCCATTGATTTATCTACTACTGATTGATTAATATGTTCCGGAGTAATATGTGTATATTCATCTGTTTACTGTTTTTGTGCCTCTCCAATCTCTCTAGGTCAGAGTTTTGGCAGCCAGCAAACTGACTAGCAGGGTCACCAAAGAGGTCAACTGGCCTGTAGCACTGCTTGTTTTCATCCTTCCATCTGCAAGAGAGTAAGTGCAAACCAGGTTACATAATATATATTAATCGAGCTCTGTGTGTGTCATCTACAAGAGTACAGCAGTTATTAAAAGATAAGAGAGCTTTACCTGGGCTATCTTGTCTCAGGATTAGTGGTCCAAGTGAGATGTCTGTAGCAGCATGGTAGGATACATCCCTCTTAATTCGCATGTGGTAACCTGGGTAGCAATGCTGCAAGAAAACACAATTACAGGCTTCTGCTGATGCACCTGTCAATAATCTATATAATCCTGTTACAAACACCCACAAATACAGTAGTACTTACAGCAGAGCAGATCTGTTGTGTTTCAGAAGGCACAGGTGGACCTGGCAGTGCAGGTAGATGGATGAAAAGTTGGTAAAGTGAACATCCTGAATGAGATCGGGCCACAGTTAGAGATACCGTTCTGAACCAGCCTTCACTGTACCATCTGCTGGATTAGGAAACTGGAAAACAGGGAAAGAGGCGCCAAATTTCAATGTTATCCAGGCAGACTTTAGTCAACAGTGGAAGGGGTTAGATTCGTCGAAGAAGAGGCCTTCAAGGGCTCTCTCTCAATTTGAACCGAAAAATCAGCATGTGAAGATAAGGTGAAGTTGCAATAGCTCCTTTACTCTGCATTAATGAGATCCCAGCGGACAGGGTAGCTAGCGATGTTGACTGGTGTGGCCCAACAAGAGTCCAGGATGGTGGAGATCTGCCGTTCATCGACTCCTTCTGTTCGCACCTCCACATACAACCTCTGGTCAATTTCCATTTCAATGTTGCTGTTACTGGTCAGGGGGAAACGGAAGCCAGCATCCTGGTAGGGGATCATTCTCATATGATACTGTCCACGGCCAGATGGAAGCTTCTTCCTCACAACGCTAGGAAAAAACAGCAAATTATGTCACTACA